AACAACTCTTCCCAGAGAACTACACATGCACTGAAAGCCAAATTATTACTAACTCAAGCTGTCGTATTTCAATATTAAATCCAGTTAAGGAAGTGGGACATGTCTAAGAAACTCATGGATGGAGACTGGTATGAGTAAGAACAAAATTTACCACTCAATCATTGTGTATAAGACGGGTCTGCTTTGCAGCTACCATCTCAAATGGAATAAATGCTAATCTGAATGAATGACAGTCTAGATTTGAGACAAATACTTAAGGGATTTGTTCCAGGTGTTGGACTGGGTGTACGTGGCAGGGTTTGCCAGCAGCAGGCTGCAGTGTGGTCTTTGTGAGGAGGGGCTAGGACTGCCCCATGCCAGACACAGCCGGTTCCTGTAAGCTCCCACAAACCCACCACAGGGCACAGCTGAGCCCAGCTGCCAAGCTGGTGGCCCCTGTAGGAAAACAGACTTTAAAAGGACAAAAAGCTGCACAGCAGTAAGGATTAAGGAAGAAACAGTGAACACTAAAGTCAGAGAGGAGAGAGGGGGAGGAAGAGCTGCTTCAGATGCTCAAGCACATATTACCCTGCAGTCTATGGAGAGGAAGGTGGTGGAGCAGATGGATGCTTCTTGACAGCAACTGCAGCTGGTGGAAAGCCCATATTAAGACTAAATTTCCTTCCTGCAGGACTGCAGGCTATCAGCAGAGCCAATGCTGGAGCAGGACAAGAGTGTAAGAAGGTGGGGCAGAAGGGAGCTGTTACGGGCTGACTCAACCCCATTTCCCATCCCCTTGAACCACACAGGGTAGAGGAAGTAGAAGGATGAAGGAGAGAAGTAGAGCCTTGGAAAAAAAGGACTGGGGGAAAGTTGTTGGTTTAACTTGTGAGTTTTCTGTTTCTGACTATCCAAATCTATTTTAATTACCTCACCTGTGGGCTCTTTCATCCTATTTCCTTCTGCTGTCCTGTTGAGGAAGCGGGGTAAGTGACTGAGTAGGCATCTGGCAGCCAGCCAGCCAAGGCCAACCTACCATAAATACTAGGATGCATATTTTGTATGTCCATTTTAGAAGCTTCTAATAAAATCTTTAACATTGGTATAACCCAAATAGTGGCAAAGAAGGCAAAAGTCAGGCAGTTTTGGAAAGTTATGCAAACAGGATAGAAAACACCTAGCATCAGATGACAATTAACAACATTTCATGAAAGTCACTATTTTAAAGTTCATTAGTATTTATTTCATTAAGTTAATTTTGGCCAATACCCACAAGCTTTCACTGTCAGATGTTTTACTCACCTTAACAATTCATACCTTCTATTATAACTAGCACTATGTAACACAAGATCCCTCTTCTAAAGACAGGAGTAAGTCTTAAGCAAGGAGAACCTACCCCGAGTAGAGGAGGAACACTTAAACAATCTAGACATACATGATTGCATGAGGTCTCAGGTGCTGAGAGTAACTTCATGGCCACTCTCTGCTCTCTTCAGAAGGTTGTGACAATTCAGGGAGTCTTCCCAGGACTGAAAGCAAGCAAATACCACTCTTCTCTTCAAGGGTGTCAAGAAGAAATATTCAGAGAACAGAGCAGTCAGTTATACCTTAATCCCTGGGAAGGTGATGGAGTGAGTAATCTGGAAAAAATTTCCAAATCATGGAGGACAAGAAGGTGTTCCATCAGCAATCAGCATGGATTTATGAAGAAGAAATCATGACTGACTAATCTGATAGCCTTCTACAATGAGGTGACTGACTCAGAGAATAGAGAGAGAGCAGTGGATGTTGCCTACCTTGACTTCAGCAGGGCTTTCACCCCTCTCTTCTATTACACCCTCACAGACAAAATTATGAGAGACAGAATAGGTAAGTCAACAGTGGGGTCAACTGAAACATGGCTGAATTTCAAGGCTCAAATGGTAGTGCATCAAACAGAGAAGAAATAGAGACAGGGGATGGGGGGAATACTGAAGACAGTGCCAGACTTTTAAAAATAAGAGGAGTCTGTTAGTGCACAGTGAAAGGAAAAGACACACTGGACACAAACTAAGTTCAAGACATTTTGTTTCTACTTATTAAAATACTCTTCTACTCTGAGAGTGGCAAAATACTGGCACAGGTTGACCAGAAAGCCTGTGGAGTTTTCATCCTTGGAGATACTCAAAACCCAGGTGGACGTGACACTCAGCAACCCACTTTAGTTGATTCTGCTTTAAACCAGTGTGTTGGACTAGATGACGCCCAGGTATCCTTTCCAGCCTCCACTATCCTGTGATTATTTATTTCTTTTTTTTGCCAGAATAAATAGTCACAGAAGAGTTTTTGAAATAATTTTTAATATTTTCTTTCCAGTGTGTAAGCCTGAAGCATGAGCTTTTATAGGTAGATATAAAAAGGGATTCTGTGACAGTTGTTCCTGGGGCACATAAGACCAGTCCACTAGAAAGTAATAAAAGGAATAAAGAAAGAAAAAAGGCAATAAATCATACACTAGTAAGCAGTAACCCTACTAGTTAGCAGGAGTTAAGCAGGAATTGTTACCTATTCTCTTCTGAATGTTCTACTCAGAGCACAAAATACTTCCCTTACTGATTTTGTTATATTGGAAGTGAGACACAGAGCAGAAAACAGGGATGCTGTCCCTCACACTAAACAATATGCTATCTGGTATCAGACACCACATTCTCAAAGAGAAATTTTTTCTCTTCCTATTGCAAAAGTACAGATAGAGGTTTTAGAATTTTAATACTAAATATTATACTGGTGTGCTAATTCTACACAGAATTGCTCAATCTTGCTTTTTTCTTTTTGCCTCATTGTATTGTGAATATTTTTGTCCTTCCTAAAGGCTTTTTTTTTCCTTGCAAGTTGGCTAATTAGTCCATTTGAGTAGAATCATTAATGCCTTTGGGCATATCCTTTTACACCTTTCACTGTCCCACTGTATGATTTCACTGACACTAGTGGAATTTTTCCTTCTGGTTACAGACACATGGAGCTGAAATTCAGTTCAACATGAAACGTATGATGAGAATCAACCTCTCTGTCAGCCAGTCCTTCAAGTAATATACTCTATTTCAGACAATGACATTCTAAGATTTTACTTAAAAATATGTCTTGTAGACAACCATCTTTCCTGGAAGTTCAGCAGTTCCTTATGGTGGGCTGCACTGGAAATCCCAGAAGACATGATGGCTCAGTAATTCATACAGCAAACTTCTGAGGAAGGTTTTTATGAAGGTTTTACTCCTTACTGTGTTCCAATCCAGTATATGAGAATCGTGGTTTGCTTAAGATGAACTAAGACTTAAGACTAAGACTTAAGATGACTGTGATTTCAGGTCTAAGCTGGGCTCTTCAACGAGTGAGTCCAGCACTGACAGTCATAAATTAAGCAGGTTACACAGTTTTGGCCACCAAAGCATGAGAAATGCCTAGACATAATTTTAACAGAAAATTAAAATTCAGGTTTTTTGGATCGTTGTCTGTGTAAATGAGTCACAAAACAAAAGTGACCAACTTTGAAAACATGTACATTTAAATCTTAAGGAAAACAAAAGATAACCACAAAATTAAAGAAAAAAAAATAATCGTGTCCTGGATACAGACTGCAAACATCATTAAGAATGGCTAGAAAAATATTTACATCTTTCCATTACTATCAATTGCTCAATTTTATTTAATAATCAGACTTAGCTCCACAGAACTAAATAAGGCAGTAATCACTATGAGACGATCTGTGCTCCAGAAGGTCAAGTAAACATTGTCAAGAACATAATTCAAATAGTCACTGTGTTATTGAAGGGGACTTAAGTACATTCTGACATATTTAGTGAACTTTAAGAAGACAGGCAAATATATTTAAATGCCACTGTTTCTTCAAGACTTACAGCAATGCAGATATTTGGTTTTATATTCAGAATTATCCTCTATTTCATTTATATAGTATTTCAATATAATGGTTTTCACTTAAACAATGAGAATTTTGGTTCTCTAAACAAAATAAACACAATACAGCAAACCCTGATGGAACAGTATTTCCTTAAATTAGATCAGCTACCTACAAGTAAGGAGTATTTCCCTGAAAAGTATGTAAAGCATTAAACAAAGTTGCAAGCTCTGAATTTAGTAACTTCTAGAAACTTTCTGAATAGCGGAGCACCCTAGTATCCTTGCCTTTCAAAGAGAAATCAACCTTTTCATACAAGCTACATTTCACTTTTAAAATTTCTGTTTCTTGATCACACACATTTAATGGGGGCAGCAGATCAGTCTTAGAAAAGCTATGCAACCAGGTCAGCACTGACACAAAATATACTCAGTGAATGCCCCTTCCCCAACAGAATATATAAGGCAGTAAACTCCAGCTTAATCCTCTTCTGTCAATATTTACAGATAATTTAGGCCTAGGTGAGACTTATTCAAAATTCAGCTGCTAATACAGGATCCACATCCAGCAAATATTTTAAGAGCAGACTTAACTTGTCAGAAATAGTTCTAGATATACTTCTAACCTGCCCTGAAACTGGGAATGTATTTAATGACTGCTTGTAGTCCTAGTCCCTCTTGGGACATTTTGTATCATACTAGATTAAGTATTTCAATGGCTTAAAATAAAAGTGGGGGGTTGTTTTAATTATTTTTTTTAAAGCTTGTTTAGTTCTGAACTAGTACTTTATCTGTTTTAAACTTTCATGACTTTCCTAAGAAGGGTTGCTGGATTAGGCTGTAAACAATGATTTACTAAGAAAAAGAGTAAAGTTATGCAGAAAAGGAATTACAAGTCAAGTGTTTGTACTCTCAAAAAGGCTTAACCCATTTAATTACTTTTGAAAGACAGGAATTAATTAAACCATTTTCATTCAAAGTAAAGGCTGATTAAAATAGTCTAGGTAAGATCAAGCATCACTGAAACTAATTAAAGCAACAAAGCTCATCAAGATGGTGAAAATAAGAAGCTCAAAACAGAGAGAATTGATGTAGTGACCAAGCTCATGCAAATATATGTTTCAGCTTACTTGTCCAGGGCTGTGCTGGTAGGCATGCTCCTGCCGAATCCCCGGACACCCATCTGACAGAAGTAAGGAATGCAAGACAGATGGGCAGCAATTATCGCCAGTGAATCCGATGCGTTAACAAAGAAACCGTTTTGGCCAAGAATCATGTAGCGGTCCTGGAGAAGAAAATTAAGAAAAAAAGTATCTTAAATGGTGTATTCCAGGTAGTGGTAATTTCTAGTATTAGATCCTTTGTAGGCAGGTAAAGAAACAATCAGCTTTGGGTTACTTGCACTTGTCTTTGGGCAGAATAATTTATTGGCATCATCCTGGCAGGTTTATCATCTCACTATCACACTACCATTCCTCTCCAGCCTTGCAAACCCAAACTCCAGATCAGTCCCTAGCTTCATCCTCCCACACAACACTTCAGGAGATCTGTTCCTTGCAGAGAATGCTTGTGTTGGGAAATCTTTTTGCCAGTAGCACACATTATACAGGGAGTAGGCAGGTGTTTTTATTTACTGACAATAAAAAACAGGTTATCTTCTTCAGAACCTTTCCATCTTTCTCCCACTGTCAGGACACCAAGTTGTTTCTTTAATACACTGACATTTCTAAAGCTGACAGTATGATATACAAAAATACAAGCAGAGATTAAAATTCAGTGCTTTATCTAGCTGAAAACACCTCCATTTACAATGTTAACCAGGAAGGTCTGAAACTAGTTACTACTTTCTGTGACAAGGTCATTTAATCTATATATGCTGTCTCTTCCTAATCAGGGAATAAAAAGTGTTACACCAGTACAAGATAAAACCAGCCTAATAATTAAAAGAATTCTCATTCTGGTTTCAAATCCTGCTCGATTTGCAGTCACCTGCATAGACAAATTACAACATATGTGTTTCATTTATAAGTTGCTATCATCTGTACCTGAAAGTTATATAACTTTCAGCTACTGAAAAGCAAATAAACTGTACTTACATGGCCCATATCTGACCCCAGACAGAAGTGTGAGTACTGTGATGCCTCCAGACAGACCAAAATACTTACTCCATCAGCATCAAAAGCAGCTCCAAACCCATACTCTCCACCTCTCATAGCCTCCAGCAAGGCAGTTGCATAAGTTAAATTGGGATCAGGGGGATGTCCACCAAAATCTTCCAGAGGAATACAGTTTATAGCAGAATTTGCAGGAGCTCCCAATTCATCACACAGGATTCTTCTCACATAAGGTCCCATAACTGCAAAAACAAAAACCTGGCATTTAATCACAAAAGCATATGTTTGACATTTGGGACTTTTCACAGCACCATGGAGACTTGATACAAAACATACTTTCACAAATTATAGACATCTGTCCTAGCAACAAAAAAACATACAATTATTTCACAGCTGATTATGTCCCCCCAATAAATAATCTATCAGCAATTCAGCACTAAAAACACACTTCCCCACTACTGAAACCAAACAAGTAATCATGTTAAATTTGCAAGTTTTATTTACCCATTATTAAGTAAAGAAATCATCATACACATAGAGGGCTTTTCCTCATGAGAATAAAAATAGGATGCTATTCTGTGTGTCCTGAAATGCGAACAACAGTTTAACACACTATAGTAAGGAAAGCACACAGTAGGGGAATATAAATGGGAAATCAACTTAACTTGACATTTCAATTTGCATTCAAATTACAACAGGTTTGTCCACATTTTAATTACTAACATATAGTTAGTAAATAAAAAACTTCTCAAAATAACTCCAAAATAACTTCTTTACTTTTTTAAGGATATGGTCAGCTCATGCTAGTCTATATCATAATTACTATATGCAATGTTGTGGCGGTATCCCAAAACATCACCCAAGTCCATTTTGGAGTAGAATTATATTTCATCTACATCCCAGATAAACACCGTAGGCCTTTTCTTTCTGTCTGATGGGAATTTGCCATTCTAACTTTAACCACTGAATAAAAGTGGTTCTATACTTTAACCAACCAATTTTCATTTTAAGCAAGTATACTGAATATTTTCTAAGTATTAATAGCAAATTTCTATCATTTCAGCCCAGAAATAAGAGATTCTGAATACATAAGCACCTTGAAATATAGTCCTTAGCAAAAAATCATTTAACCCCACAATCAAATCTTTTGCTTCTGTGAAGAAACTGTAATGTTGGTAGTGTATGAAATCTACACTGCTGCATTCATCCTCTGAACAAATAGTAACAATTGGCAAAGCTCTCTGCATCCCTGAGGCATGTGTGAACAGGTCACTCAGACGCAAAAAAACCATGAGTGACTGCTTTATCTCTTAAGCTCTCTCCTTATCCTACCTTACTCCCAAATATTGCTACCTGGAGCAGCTGTAACCAAAAGTAAAATTAAGTGAGAAACTTGTGTTTAAGAAAATGTAAATGCAAATTCCATAAAATATACAGTAGTAAACAATGATTGTGGGATTTGGGTTCTTATCAAGAGAAGATTCCTGAAAAATTACTCATTTCTACACCAATGTGAAACTCTCAATGTCTACAGGCATAAAAGCGTATCCCAGAGCTGCAGAGATAAAACCAACTTCTGAAGATAGCTCATCAATATACACACATGGCCCTCCGTAATGTCCACTATACTGTGGCTAGTGAGTCACTTTTGATTGTTTGATCTGATGCCCCCAGGAGAAGGATAAACTCCACCTATATTAGAATCACAGAATAGTTTAGGTTGGAAAAGACCCTTAAGAACATCAAGTCCAGCCATTAACTTAGCACTGCCAAATCCAACACTAAACCATGTCCCTAAGCACCACATCAATACCTTTGAAATACCTTCAGGGACGGTAATTTAACCACCTCTTTGGGCAGCCTGCTCAGTGCCTAACCACTCTTTCAGTATAAAAATTCTTCCTAACATCCCATCTAAACCTCCCCTGCCACAACTTAAGAACACTTCCTCTAGTGCTGTTGTTATTTACTTGGGAGAAGAGGCCAACACCCACGTCCCTACAACCTCCTTTCAGGTAGTTGTAGAGCAATAAAGTCTCCCCTCCACCTCCTTTTCTTCAGGCAAAACAAACCTAGTTCACTTAGCTGCTCCTCACAAGACTTGTGCTCCAGACCTTTCATCAGCTTTATTGCCCTTCTCTGGACACACTCAAGCACCTCAACATCCTTCTTTTAGTGAGGAGCCCAGAACTGAACAGAGTACTCGAGGTGCAGCCTCACCAGTGCCCAGTACAGAGGTACAATTACTTCCCTAGTCCTGATGGCCACACTATTGTTGATACAAGCCAGGATACTGTTGGCGTTCTTGGCCACCTGGGCACACTGCTGGCTCATGTTCAGCCAGCTGCTCACAAGAACCCCAGGTCCTTTCCGTCTGGCAACTCTCCAGTCACTCTTCCCCAAGCCTGTAGCTTTGCATGGAGCTGCTATGACCCAAGTGCAGGACTCACCACTTGGTCTTGTTGAACCTCACACAACTGGCCCCAGTCCATCAATCTAGCCTGTCCAGGTCCCTCTGCAGAGCCTTCCTACCCTCTAGGAGATCAACACTCCTGCCTAACATCGTGTCACCTGCAAATTTGCCGCAGGTGCACTCAGCCTGCTCATCCAGATCATTGACAAAAATATTAAAAAGAACTGGCCCCAGTACTGAGCCCTGGGGAAGACTAAGAAACCATTTTTCTGCAGGAAAGTAACTCCAAACTTTTTCTGTTGTATAAGCAAATATCCTTGTACACATTTATTTACATGGGTACTATGTATGTGTGCTATGTATGGCTATTTCTTCACCAAGGCAAAAAGTCATAAAGCCAATTCTCTATCACCTTGTTAACAAACAACCTCAGTCCTTTAAAATGTTTGTGATGCATTAGTTTTTTCTAATCCTGTGCCAGACTGTACTTTTTTTTGACCATATGTAAAATTTTTCAAAACTCAGTTATAGATCTGGACATCAGAGCTCTACACACAATTTGAGTAACATTATCTCCAGTACTGTATGTGACAGGACCCCCACAGCTACCTCTGCTTTGCTCAGAGCATAGTTTGCTCTTCTGCCACAACCTGGCAAAACTGGGTGTTTACGCTGACTGTATGCCCACTATTACCTTTTGAACAGTGACAATCACACTGTACTAGATAAAACACTGTACAAAAGATTTGTAAGTCTCTCCAGCTCCCTTTATCAGTCTGTTTTTGCAATGTCATTAAAGCATGAAACCTAGTTTGTTTGATGGAAATTGTTTTCCATAAGATTATGATGAACACAATTACTTACATTCCAATCCTTCAAGTCATCATCTGTATAAATCTTTATTTATTTTTTCAAGATGTAATCTAAGATAGATCTCATTCTAATCTATGTTTCTCCATATGACATAATTTACATTTTTTTCATATTGTCAAATAATTGGTCCCCTTGCTCTCTTCTGTGATGTTTTTTTCACTTTGCCCCCGGTACCCTGAAATTTTTAACAGTTAACATGAGTGAGTCAGATGTCTCAGCCGAATCTTTAACAACTCTTTGGTGCTTTTAATATTAACTAATTTATACCATTTAGAATTTATTCTTAGTAGAGGCTGCCTTCTAACCTCCCTGGTTACTGCACAGTGCAGCATACTTTACCACCCTCTCATGGAAAGATTACCTCATTCTGCTTGACTCCAAATGCTAAAATACAGCATCTGTTGCACATGTATGCCTGTACTTATCCAGAAGGATAAACCTATTTGCTTAATAAGGGACCTAACCCATTGTTAAGATTGCCTTTGTTACTTGTATAACATTCATTCCTTTTTCACTACCCTTAGCCTTATTAAAACATTCGGTATTTTATATGCTGTACTTTTATTGGAAAGCTACTGTTGTGTACCATCTCTATTGGGAAACTATTGCAGTGTACCTACAATTTTGTCCTGACAGCAACTTATGCTCATACCTCCATTCATGGCATCAATCCTTATTTTAATCTGGTTGGGTCCGGTCAGTAAATTTCTGATCGCATTGAAGTCAAAGATACTTCGAAGGAGATTGAGGTAGATATCCACAGAATCCACAATTTCCACTAGAAAAATTAGGTAGAAAAAACAGTTCACACACAGCAAAGTATCTCTTCCAGCACACTTCTACCAGCCATGCACCTCAACTAAGATCAGACTGTGCAACCTCTACATAATATGGATTTGCTCTGAAGCCCATAAAGGCAAAGTCAAAAGACTCCCACTAATTTCAGTATGGCTGCCATCAACCTTTAAGCCTTGCAAAGATCAACAATTTTGCCTGCTCAAGGTCTGCAGAGATAATGTACTTTGACAGTTCCTTTTTCACTGAACACAGTCATGAGATCACATCCGACCAAAGTAAACTCTTTCCTTGCGATTTGCTAAATCACTGAACAATCCTTCAAGCTAAATAGGTTTATTCTCTGAGGATGGAAGGTATTCAACACCAAGTTGAATATACATGTTCTATTTTTCTGTCTGACACCAGCATCTATCTGCATCATTCCAACAAGAGAGAGACAGCAAGTCTGTTCTTCTCAGTTTTGGCACCTGGAGTACCTGTCTCCAGTTTATTGTTAATCTACCACTACAGTTTTGCATTTTATATCTCACCGATTTAGGAAAGTTTCTCTTAGATACAACATCTGTTTTTTTCTTAATTTGAATTTTAAATTCATAAAAGAAGAGAGATACAATTTTTCTAATTCTTTTGCATGTAAAATGTTAAACTAAAATTAATTAATGAAAGTAAGTTTGTAATAATGAAAGCAGTTACCAAACAACTGTCAAAAGTTGTGCTTCTCAGTTACCTTGGAAGGTATTTCGCCTTAGGACTGGAGGCCAGAGAAGAGCCACCAAGATGATCAAAGGCCTGGAGCACCTCTGCTGTGAAGACAGGCTGAGAGAATTGGGGCTGTTCAGCCAAGAGAAGAGAAGGCTCTGAGGAGACCTTATAGCAGCCTTCCAGTGGCCTTACTTGTAGTAAGATATTTATCACAGAATCATAGAATTGTTAAGGTTGGAAGGGACCTTAAAAACCATCAAGTTCCAACCCCCTACCATGAGCAGGGAACCCCACCATCAGATCAGGTTGCACTAAACCTCATCCAACCTGGCCTTAAAAACCTCCAGGGATGGGGCATCAACAACCTTCCTGGGCAACCCATTCCAGTTCCTCACCACCCTTAGAGTGAAGAATTTCTTCCTAATATCTAACCTAAATCTCCCCCCTCTCGGTTTAAAACCATTACCCCTTGTCCTATCACTATCTGCTCTGATGAAAAGCCCCTCCCCAGCTTTCCTGTAGGTCCCTTCAAGTGCTGGAAGGTTCCTATAAGGTCTCCTCAGAGCCTTCCCTTCTCTAGGCTGAACAGCCCCAACTCTCTCAGCCTGTCTTCACAGCAGAGGTGCTCCAGGCCTTTGATCATCTTCGTGGCCCTTCTCTGGACCCTCTCTAGCAGGTCTATATCCTTCTTGTGCTGAGGGCACTAGAACTGGACACAGTATTCCAGGTGGGGTCTGACGAGAACAGAGTAAAGGGGCAGAATCCCCTCCCTGGCCCTGCTGGCAACACTTCTTTTGATACAGCCCAGGATGTCTTTGGCTCTCTGGGCTCCAGCACACACTGGTGGCTCATGTCGAGCTTCTCATCTACTACCATTCCCAAGTCCTTCTCCTTGAAACTGCTCTCCAGCCATTCTCCCCCAGCCTGTATTTATGCCTGGGGTTGTGCTGACCCAGGTGCAGGACCTTGCACTTGGCCTTGTTGAACTTCATGAGGTTGGCACTGGCCCCCCTCTCCAGCCCATCAGGGTCCCTCTGGATGGTGTCCCTTCCCTCCAGGGCGTGCGCCACACCACACATCTTGGTGTCATCAGCAAACTTGCTGAGGATACACTCAATCCCACTGTCTGTATTTCCAACAAAGATGTTGAACAGCACTGGTCCCAGTACTGACCCCTGAGGGACACCACTCATCATCTGCCTTCATTTGGACATTGAGCCATTGACCACAGCTCTCTGGGTGCAGCCATCCAGCCAGTCTCTTATCCACTGACTGGTCCATCTGTCAAATCCATGTCTTGTCATTTTGGAGACCAATTTTGAAGAATTAAAGTTCTGTTTAAATAATTACCTATTATAATTTTGCAACAATTCTAGTATTCAGAATCAACTGATGTAACATATATAAAAATACACACTGATACCTCGGAAAGGTTTGAATTTATTCTCCAGATCAAATTCTTGTCTTCCTAGGCGTGATAAATCAACTCTGAGGTCAGGACAAATGGCGTATTCCTCCAAGGTTTTGCTGATTTGATAGATTTTTTCTGAAACTATATCTGGAGCAGGTCCTATAAGAAAAAAAAATGCAATGGGTAATATATTGGGTTTTTTAATAAAGGTTCCCTTCTTAAGAATGGAGTGCTATTGGAAACATTTTTCTGAATATATTTGAGTTGCTAAGGAACAAACCTAAACAAACAGTTACAGTAAATAAGGTCTTTTATTTCAGTGTAACATAGATTTTAAATATTTTTTAAAAAAATATTACATGGAAATACAGTGCATAATTGCAAAATTTTGATTAACAGTGTTTAAATAATTACCCAGGGCAGGGGGGGATTAGAGGAACAAAAAATGCACAGTCATCACTGTCATCTTTCTTTGGGTTTATTGCTCAAATATTTCCATTTTTTACTCTACATGGAATTTCAACATAGATATTAAAGAAAGACTGTCCTTCAGAAGCAGTTTCTGGTGTTTCATTGGGCTTTCTGCAAATGGACAGTTGTGAGCTGATATTGATTCGCACTTCACATTATTTCATTAGACACAATCACAATTTTAAAAAGCCTTACCAGTTAGACAGTGTTGTTTTCTTGCAGTTTTTGTCTTAATTAATTAAATGCATCTTGGTGGGCCATGTGCCTGCATGGGAGGAGGTGGGAACTAGATGACCCTTAAGGTCCCTTCCAACCTAAAGCATTCTATAATTCTGTGACTTGTTAGGATTTAAAATACCTCAATTGCTTAATAAGCAACTATAACCTGGAACACTTGAATCATTCAGAAACAGAATTCACATCTTACTTGTGCATCACCTCTATTATCAAATCCTGAAGATTGGGTCAATTATTTAAAAATTAATTTGCTAATTTAAAAATTTTATTTGTCAATCAAACAGAAGCTGTAGGCTTGATGCAAAACTGATCAGATGAGCTATGCCATATGTAGTGTAAGAGTTGAGTCTGAGTTACAATAGAATTAATTTCTGGCTTCTCTGACTCTTTATTGCTAATACTAAAGCCACATTTCCACTCTGAAAAATTACTTTCATTATTCTATTTACATGCTCTGTCTCCTGACTTGAAGGCTCTGGCTTTTCGGTGCTAACTTTCCACTCCTCTACCAATGCTGCCAGATTCAGTGCAGCTTTGCCACATTAATCAGTGCTCCATTTCAGATGCAGTGCTCCAGATGGTCCAAGTCAATACGTTAAGTAATAGTCACTGAACACTTCATTTGGCTTAGAAAATGACTTCTTAATCACCTAACCCAAACCCACCCAAGGGGTGAGAACAGGTTTTATTAGCTCAGAATCATCTTTGATAGATGGATGGATTGTCTACTGATACTTCCACCTAAGGAGATCCCACAGTGTTACTCTGCATTCTCTCCTACAGCCGTAGAAAAACCTCACTTCTGCCCAACCTGGATCTGCAAAAGAGACTGAGTGAGAACGCAGAGCAAAAAGAGTCTTCCCTAGGAGCTTACTGTGGTGCCCAGCCATTCTCTTACATCAAAAGCTTTGCCTAATACTTTGCCCACATTTTCCCAACCGTAACTGAAACCAACTAATTTTTATTACATCTCTGCTGATTATCAAAACTAATTGAACCTATGTTTGAGGAGTGTTTAATATTTAAAGCTTAACAGCCTCTTTGAACTTTCTTTAAAAAGGCAAATTACAGTAAAAAGAATGCCCCACCAACTGTTACCCTTTTATGAAACAGATTTTAGGTATACATGGTGTTTTAAAATTTACAGAGTGCTAATGCATCTAATGGTTTGGCTCCGGAATGCCTGTGCTGTGACCTTGGCTTTCTTACTGCCTAGCCCTACAGAGTCCCTTTAATCTCTCTGGGATTCAAGCCTACTCTATTTATAAAATCACACTGGTTTAACCATGCACATTTTTCAATTAAACAAGGGACAAGGAAGAAACATCCCCTTCTCAAGTCCCACCTTCAAAATGGGAGAGAGAACATTATTTTAAAAGCACTTTCAGTTTTTTCAGATGGAAAGCACTCTACCTGTGTGAGGTATACAAGCTCTCAGCAACTGTCACCATGATGTTTTATGAGTGTAGACACATCTATACCATAAAACATACATAATGTATAACATACCCACATGTGTTAGCTTGCCAATTTTGGAAAACAAGACATTAACTATATACACAAATTCCATTATTCAACAGCAGACTTGTAATAGTTAAAGTGGTAAAACCCTCTCCCTGGATAAGAACAGTTATTTTCTGGGTAAACATGAGAAGTGCTTTCTTCCATACAAGACAATGAATTATACTGCCTACAGCACTTCTGAAGTTACATGCTTTAAAGCAAATGCCAAGATAAGCAACACAAAAATATAAGCAAAAAAGAGCTGCCTCACAGACATCTCTATAAAAGATCAGAATTGTTACAAAGATCTGGCAGACTATACAAAATGCTATAAATATGGGATGGTAAACCTCGTTTATAGAAAACTTACAGCTACTACAAGGCCTCCAGTGAACATTTCATGCTTCTTGTACAGACATATATGAACAAATACACTCCTATTACTGGGGGAAAAAAAGTGTATGCTCTTCATAATTTTAACAGAATAAATGAAAAATACATAGTTAAATTCAGCTAGTTATCCTGTCAGTGTATTTTTCTGATACCAAGATACAATGTCATTAAAAAAAAAAACAAACCACCTACCTCCATTGGCAACCTCAAACTTGACCCCGAACTCCCCTCCAGGTCCCCCAGGACTGTGGCTAGCTGTTAGAATAATTCCTCCAGCTGCTTTGATCTTTCGGATGATACATGAAACAGCAGGTGTGGATAAGATACCATTTTGTCCAATAACCAATCTGCCAATCTAGGTGGAAAAAGAAGTCAAAGTTCTCTGAATGGTACTAAGCTTTTGAAAATTCATAAACATGCACACACATAGGTATACATGTATAGGACAGAAACTGTAAACTCCTAGTATGGAACCTGTTCCTTTGAAAATAAATGTAGGTACAAAAGCTGATTGCTTGCTAATCTGGAGTGCTGACAAAAATATTACATACCGGCACATTTAACCCCAATGGCGTGTGTGCACTGGTAGTAAAGCAAGCAAGCACAGCCATGGTGATTTGCAAAGCTACCAAGCAGGGCAATGGGCTATGATCCTGCTACAAAACCTTTCCAGGTATTCCCATAAACCAGTAGATGCCCTCAAATATCAATATAGTTTAGGGCTGACTGTGTGGATGCAGTTTGCAGAGTTGGGGGTTTAAGTAGCATAAAAGAGAAGTAAACTAAGTGGCCTTTCATGGCCTTCAGTGCAATAAAAAGTATTGCTATGTACAAGGACCTGTAGTATCCATCAGGCACACCTCTACCACCAAGACAGCCTTGGATGTCCTGCACTATAGAAAATACTGCTCCTCCTCCAGCCATCAGTGACTCCGTGTCTACTCCAGGTGAAAAGTGTTTCCCAGTGCACAGAGCAGAGGAAGTTCCCACCATTCTTAAAATTAAAAAAAAGCTTTCAGTTGGTGTTACTAAACACTAACCAAATGTGTTTGGTATTATGTGCAGTTCCCATGGAGGTTTCAATTTCAAAACCTTGCCTTCATTCCCTATGCAGATACTCCAGTTTCTTCTCAACATAAATAATGTCAGAGCCAACCAGAAATGTATTTACAAAAAAATATGAAAGAGTTTCAGTTCCTGGGAAACAGGCAGATACTTAAAATGAAGGTGATAAGGGGAGCCTAGTGCCACAGATGAGAAGTGAGACAGCTGCACATGGACATTAAAACAATATTGCCACATGAACCTTAAAAGAATATTTCCAAAGTCGTGGGTTTTTTCCAACATCCTCACTTAAAAAGAAAGCAAGCAAGCAACCAACCAAAAACCCCACCAGTATTGAGTAATAGTTTAAGTAGGGGGTGATGAGAAGGAAGGAGGGAGACAGGCAGAACACTGAATCCTTCCCACTCCCCACCTAAAAGTAGACCAGGAGTTCAACCTCAGATTTCCTTCTCTAGTTTGAGGAAGATTTGATACCCCTACAGTCTGGGCAGCAAAACAACAGCACAGGAAGGGTCACTATCTGCCTCCTTCCTATAAAGAGGTCTTCCTTCACACACACATGACCTCCTTCTGCGTTCAGCACTTGTGTAAGGCCCTTGATGGTTATTTGAAGTGGGGTTCCAAATAATTTCAGAAAAGCAAGGATTAATAGATTGGTTTTCAACCTGTTTTTGTGAACTATTTTAATTTTTTAAAAAAATTCTACATTGAAATTATCAACTTCTAAAGTAAGCACAAGTTACCTTTTGCTAACCCTCAACAAGCACAAACTATGGTTTACCCAGTTCTCTTTCACTGAAAATGAAATTATCTGCTTTCAAACTTTAAAAAAGTGTGCAGAACAATGCATTCTATTAACTGAGATTTCTACCTCAAGACATGATGACAGGATGGCTGTTTGACTACCTGGTTCTCTTCTCACAGTTTTTGCAGATAAATTTGAAGCCAGTGGATTGTTGCTAGAAAACAGGAAAGCTAAGAAAATTTTAAGTACAGTACATGGAAAATCTTCAAGCTTCATCTAACTTGCTCTTGCTACTATGGGAAAATGTTTTGTTTCACTGTTTTTTCCTTTGTGTGAAGTTGGAATAGTTTTGAAGAAAATGGGGGGGAGGAAGTTAAGAAACAACAAATTTGTTTTTCCATTTTTCTACTGTAATGAAAATGTTTTCCAGGGAAAACAAGCACCCTTTCCAGGAGAAACAAGGCAAATCAGCAGAAACAACATTTTCTGTTTCAACAACAAGCAGCATTTCCACTAACATGGTCAGTTGGTTAGGAAGAACTGTATGTTCAGTTAACACATATACATGTGGACATACTTTCTGATCATTTCACTGGTATTAAACAATTTTATTTCCCATTTAAGCCTAACCACACAGTTTCATTAACCTATGACTGAACGATTAAAATAATACCATACTCCTTATTATAGAACTTGATAACAACTATAACATAAATACCTTTCATTATTTCTGAAACAAAGCATACTAGTGAATACACACTTCCTTGAAGAACAGACACATAATGCTTGTGCACTGTGACAGCATTTACTTGCAAGACTCCATATCACTTCCTGACTGTCTGCCACTGCCTTCTCACTCTTGCTTCTCCCTAAAGGTAAAACTAAGCAGGAATTTACAATCATAATTTACAGATCTTAGGAGCAACAATAAAGGTGTATTTCCTCCATTCCTTGCTCCAAGCCAAATAAAGCAGCTGATTAAATGTTATTTCACTGATGACAGAATAAAATTGATAGGTCTCTTACTGATCAGACTTATTCACATTTATATGGTGTTCTTCTCATCTTTTAGAACTCTTTTAAATCTCCAATTGCTACTTTTACATTTTGTTTATTCAGCTGTTCTGAATAGTAAACTGTTTCAAAAATACTTTCTATACAACCCTACTTGTTACCACAGAAAAGCAATTCCTACAATGAGGAACAAGGAATACTGTTTAAGTTCAGGTTTTGTTGTTTTTTTTAAAACAGAAGCATTTCCAGTGTTGGGGTCTGACAACTGACAGGCACACTTTCACCTCAGAAAATGTATAGGGTAAAATTTTATTCATCAGGAGGACTGAAATCACTAGGAGCTCTACCACATACTTTGACACACTTTCAGAATCAATCAAGAAAACTTCCCACTAGCCACATAATTTACTACTTTATTTAAACTAGTGCCACATAAATAATATGAACGAGAAAACTGAGATTTCTTTTTTCAATTTTTTTCTGAATTTGAGTGTGTCCTTTTACAGCTTCTTTCTAGTCCGTGAAGCAGCTTTACAGCAGAATTGTGTATGAGTAAGCAAAAGGAAGATGACAGAAATTACATTTTGCAAAATGCTTGAAAACAACAACACTGACTATATCTTGAGGTACTCCAGTATAAAAAATGCATTTATACTTGTATACAGGCTTATCATGAGTACATGCTTTTGTCTTCATGCATACTGAAACTGTTACGTTGTTTTTTTCAAGTAGAATACTTAAAATATTCAGCACGCACCAATTACTTGACACTCTCTCTTTACCACATCTTCATTCTTCTCCTGTTCGACAGATGTTGCACAAACCAGTTTTCCCATTTTTCTGGATGCCCATTAGGAACATGAACAGGAAAAACTTGCACTTTTTTTCAGCATTTGTCAGAAGCCTATTATTTCTACACTACTTAGATATATTGTTTATTATACTAAGTTCTATATTACATAAATACTGCAATATTTAGTTTCCTAAATTAAGGATGTTGAAAATGAAATTACATGACTGATACATAGATATGCTTCTTGCAGTGACTACTACAAAGAGCTTCACCTTATGCGAAGGTCTTCAGTGTCTTTATAAAACACTCATGGGACGGTATGGATCTTAGAACTACAAATATGCTATCTATCTTCCTCTGCTCTCTTTATTTCAGCGGCAAGAATGTAGAACCTCATCTTCTTTTGGTCCAGAAGCTGTTAATTTTGTTTCTAAACGAAATACTAAACCGCCATTCAATTAATTTTAAGTAATTAACTTTCAGATGTATAGACTTCTTAAAATATACACTAAAACAGTAACCAAATAATGTCCATGTACCAACTCACAATTAAAGTTCCAGTACTACACTTTTGAAAATCTTCAACAGCTCATAGCATAGGAAGACTATCTTTGGAATTCAAAAACTTGCAAGGCAACAAGGTCACAGGCATGTAATGTCTCTTATAATACTGTGCCCCTACGCTGCGTTCAATTTTGTCACTCTTGCTTTCAGTAGCAACAGCAGAAACAATGACCATTTTTCCCTGCAAACTGTTACAACTGAAAGAATAATCGCCCTAACAAGTCCTTTACAAGAACATTTTTATGCAATATTACCACTTGCAGCTTCGCATTTTCAGACAATTCAGTTGATAACCACGGAGTGACTTAATGCTTTTTAAAATTATTTTTCCCAGTAAACTCTCACATGCCTTGGTCAATTAAGTTTGAAAGAACAGGAAGCAAGCAGATGCTATCCTGGACAACATGAGGCTGTGCCTTCCTGTCTTTTATTATAGTATCCTAAAGACAACTGAGCACCACACTCAACATAGAAGCAAAAATATCATCACACAGGTCCAGGGAGGAACAAGAAAATTTGCTTGGAAGACTGTGGAAAATAAGAACAACATGGTATTATAAAAAAGACAACTGGAAAATTCTCTACTATCTCAGACATCTACAGCATTAGTAACAATACTGAGTGATCTCTATGACTTTTCATATTCAGAGCATGATCATCAGCTTCTGGTCTGCCACTGAGACCTACACATAGCGGCTTCTCATTTAAACCTATCCTAAACTTTGCTTCAAAAACAAGACACCACATCTGACTGATGGGTCTAATGGAATACTTGGATTTAATTTGTGGTGGAACTGCATTAGCAACAATGGAGTCTTTTACCTCGGTTCTTCCAGACATAAGGACACTACTGCTGACAGGACAGAACTGAAAAGGAAAACAGAGCTTCAGATGCTCTCCTACCACCCAACGTGGCAACACTGCATTTTGCAACCTGGAACGGCACAGTCCCACTTGTCTGGTCTTCCTCACACTCCCCCACCCTCCCACAGCATGCAGTGCCTTACTCAAATGTGTTTGCTACAGCACCAGCTCTGTGACCCATCAATGGGTTACCCTACTTAGGCACCTTCAGCTCTGAACAGAAAGATCTAGTGGAGCATGTGATGATTACAGCAGCACAGCACGGCCCAGCCTGTAGCTGTGGCTAGCAGCAGAAGCTTACGCAGGCTACAGATGTGGAGTGTGCACCTGCAACCCTAAGCTGGGGGCATGAGCCAGAGGGACTGAAGACAAGAAGGCAGGGCAAGCACTGAAGCACTGGCAGCTGACCGGGCAGGGGCCTCATCTCATTCCTTGTCCTGGGGCCTGTGCCAACTGTGCTAGGCTGTGAACGCAGGGGGAATGCAGGCTGAGTCACCAAATTAGAACACGGGGAACCTAGTGATTCTAAAGGGCAATACACTTACAGTTGATAACAGAAAATCCTT